TATGAAGCTCTGGGGGCAGCTCATTCCAGAGGGAAGGCACTCCCATAGAGAAGGCTCTTCCCCTGGGGGTCGCTAGACGATGGCACCCTGAGGAGGCCAACTCTGTGGGATCGCACTGGACAGTGGGAGGCTACCGGTGGTAGTAGGTGGTCTCGCAGGTATCCTGGGCCTAAGCCATGGAACTATGAAACATTCATAGTTCCCTCAACCCAAAGCTTTTGTATTATCTCACATTGACATAATTTGTATCATGCATTAAGTAGCACTATTTTAAAAATTTACAAAAAAAACTTGCTCCAATTACACTTCTGGTTAAATTTGGGAAAGGGAAGTGAATGTTTTCAATTATAAGAATTACCTAAAATGTATTTTATAACTGCTTTTCCAAGCAAAGCCTTCATTTACATTGGGAAACAAACACATCATTTATTGTTTTGAGTTCAACAGATGGCCAGAGAATGAGTGAGTTATCTTGTTAAGCCTGGTATGTCACTCTCCAATTAGCACAAAAAGAAAAAAGAAAGGAAAACACAGTAGAATATCAAACCTATCTACATGGTATAATATAGGTTATAGAATACTGATAATTATTACATTTCATCATGTAACTCTTAGTGACCAAACAGACTTATGAACAGAATACTAACAACACGGGGTAGACAATTTTTCCAAGGGTCCATATGAGAAACTGGGATAATGGAGGGCTGCTGGGCCACCCCACCACCATCCCCCCATAGTGGACCAGACAGGGATGGAAGTGGTCCAGTTCTCTGACATCTAATTTAATGAAAGCAAAAATAATTAGAATATATTTAGTAACTACTGATATGTTATTTAAAATTGTCAGATTAGGATCCATATGCATGGCAAAATATTTCAAATTATATGGTTTTGGATTCAGGTTAATTATGGATTGAAAAGTACATTAGAAATTGTTTTCCATGCTACTAGATTTGTAGCAGTTCATATCAGAATTTTTCTTTAATAGCAAAAATTCATTTAAAGACTATGACATGGTACAGAAAATTGTGCGACTTATTATGCAACAGAAGTATAGGATGAAGCATAGAAATACCCCCTCTCGATCTGATAAGTCCTAATAATTATCTAAACCTCCATATTTTAACAGAAAATTGTTTTCTATGTTGTGTCTTATTATAGCTACTGGAAAAAAACATTTAAGATTTAGTCCTCAATATATTTACTGATTACATACAAGGGAGACTTACTTTTCTATGATTTATGAAATTAAAGAGTATCTTCTGAGTAAGCATTGTCATGTAATATCAGAAAGACAAGTTTCAGTTAGGCAACAAAAGGAAATATTTATAGTAGTTTAGTGCCAGCATCAAACTTTTTTTTAAACCACATCTCCTGCTCGTCATACCTCAAGTCTGCTTCAGATTACATCCCACATATTCCAAAATGTTCTTGTACACCGAATCTAGCAATTGCCCCTCAGACTTCAGGGCTCTACAAAATCACAGTAATCCCCGACCGAGTACAATTTCACGCTGCTACACCTCTTTTAAGTCAACCTTACAAACCTTCCACATCACTCCCGGAAGCAGTTCCTGGAAATAAAAAAAATGCAGATTAGACCTGCCCTCTTGCAGCTTTTACTGCGGCTTCACCCAAAACCCAAAGCTGCAGCAGACCACAGGGTGCAATATTTGGTGTTAAGATCTCCCCCACCCACCCCGGTGGGTGTGTATGTGTGTCTGTGTGTGTCCCACCCCGTTTCATTCTAAAAAATCTAAACACTTAACAGGGTGGGTTTTGACAGACAGCGCCTGAATTGTTTAGGAACAATTTTCCACTAGAAAAACAGCTAGAGGCCACATTTTACTTCACAGCCAAGTGCTGTTAGAAGTAACCTGAATTACAGAAGACTTTTTCCACTTTTTAATACTTTGGGATGGGCATGAGGAATCTTACTGAAGGGATAAACAAGCGTCAATGAGCGATGCTCCCCCCCCCCCAACTCCCGTCTCTCATAACCTTGCATATACCACGGTCCTGCTAGAAAATATGAGAATGTAAATATGAATTATGTAAATAGTAAATAGTATGTATTTACTATGTACATGTAAATAGTAAATTTCATTTTAAATTTACTATGTTAAAATTTCAAATAGTAAATTTACATGTAAATAGTAAATATCAAAGACCGGCCGATCTCTAGATGCAAAGCGAGAGGAGGTGGTGGGAGAGTCTTGGGAGGAGGGGGGGCGCCGCTTGCTCTCCCCTCCGCTTCTCTTTCTCAAACAGAGGCGACGCGGACAACGCAGCAGCCCTTTAAAGTCTTCGAGGGGGAGAGTGCGAGAAGCGGGCGAAAAAAGGAGAAGAAATAGAATAAAAGACGCCCTTCTTCCGAAGGCAGAAGCCGCAGAACCCTACCTACCTACTATCCCCGCCTCGGAGCCCGCGCCTACCTGTGGCCTCGACCAGCCACCAGCGGGAGAGGAAAGCAGCGCTCGCTGCTGGCTGGGTGGTTTTTTTTTTCTTCTTCTCTCTCTCTCCTTCGTTTCCCTCTCACCCGCCCCCGCCTCCCGCGCGAGATAGGCGGTCAAGGGAAACGGGGATTGGCTGATAATCCTCCGCCCGCGGCGCCCAGGTGAGCGCCCAACCCGAACGCGACAAGCGCTCGCCTGCGGCTTCTCTGGGTGAGAGAGCGCTCAGGTGAGGCGAGAGAGCTCCTCCTTCCGTTCTTTTAACGGAAGGCAAAGGAGGCCACGTGTTGCGGGAAGTGGCGGGGGGGGGGGAGCGCCGCCTTTGCCGCGCTCCGTTTGTGACTTCGTATATAGAATATATATATATATATATATATATATATATAT